AAGCTCCTAGTGGTCTCGCACGGGAACTTCGGACGCCAGGCCCGCACTAGGCCCGCACTATTCTACGCCTGCCTAAGCTCACCTCGCAGGACCTGACCCCCCCCCCTGAGCCAACTGGCTCAGTTCCTACATAACCTTCTTCCGGGTTATTTTTTTCCGCCGGTGACGGCCGTCATGTTCCCTCATGATTTTCGGTTACGTTTCGTGTGTCCTAAGGGCCGACGTGTGGCGAAGCCCTATCTTCGGCTGTCGGGGCGAAACCGACAGGCAGTTACATGATGACGCACTTAGGATTGATCTCACGACCTCCTGCTTGCCACTTGTGCCCCTTACCCACCCCGCTAGGCAGACGACCCACTGCACAGTCTGCTCCGGGTATTTCTATTCGATTGATCGATGGAGCTCACCCCAGTACGCACGAAATGCGCCATTCCCAGTACTCACCAAATGGGTGGATGGATACGGTCGCCATAGTTTTCGAACTTTTCACATTTGGCGCCTGTTGCGGCTGGCGCCATATCCCATCGCCGTACGATTTCGCTTTTTCCCTTTTACATTCTTTTTCACGAATTTTGCTTTCGTTTTTCGAACTTTTCACATTAGTCGCCTGCTGCGGCTGGCGCCATATCCCATCGCCGTACGATTTCGCATTTTCCCTTTTACATTCTTTTTCACGACCCCGCTTTTGTTTTGTCGTTTCCGTCCTTCGCGCACTCGTGGCCAAAGGTAATCATTTTGAAAACTGAGCGTCTTCGCGTGCTGGCGCCTACTCACCGAACGGTCGAAATGGGGAACGAATTTCCCCACAGAAGGGGGGCAGGTACACGCGCCATATTTTTCTTGTCTCGTTTACATCTGGCGAGGGGTGCGGCCAGTCCATGCTCGATGACGGCGGAGGCAGCAGACACTCTTTTGCTGATTGCCGAGGCTAGGGGACGCACACCTGCCACACATTCGCAGTCGCACAGTGGCGCTCCTTGAACTCCCGGTCATTACTGCCCTACCACCAGCTCAATTACTCGCAGAATGTACAACATGAGAATGAATCTTCCCCTAGAACGTGGGCAGAAACATCTCCATATTGTTTTGTCTTTTGTGCATGCATGTCGTGAGTTACTGGCGCAAGGCCCTATGGCTGTGCCCTTTTTTTTAAGACTCAAAGGTATGATGACCAGGCGTTCTATTCGGGGCCAAGCCCCCACCTGCGCAAATTAGGAGTTTTCGGCCGTCGATCTTCGCTATCTACGGTCAGTATCTCTTAATTCGTGCAAGTGGGACCTAGCCCCCGGGGGAAGACAGCAGGACTGGCTAAGGCGACGCTTTTTTTTTTTGGGGGGGGTGGGGGCTAAGGCGACGCTATAGATCTGCGTAGGGAAAAGAAAAGACGATAAAAAAAAAAACCTGCTCATAATTGGTTGGAGACATGCTTTTGCCCTTCGACAACCATATGTGAGGGTGCCAAGGGAGACCCTCCTCTTCTCATCCATGCGACGGGGCATGCAAATCTCCTCTGGGGCGAGGTCCCACTACGGTAGCAAAGAGGATTGGATAAATGCCCTGAATGTGGACGTGTTTTAAGCAGAGATGCAGAAAAAAGCAGTTCAATCTCGATTTTGTGCACCTTTCCACAGAGGAGTCCAGATTCAGGCTTTCTATCCAATCCTCTTTGCAAGTGGGACCTTGCCCTTGGATTGGAAAAAAAAAAAAAAAAAAAGCGAAATCTTTTTTTTTTTTTTTTTTTTTAAAGGACGATGGCCTTGAGGTATTATCGTCGGACTAACCAGCCCAGGTAAATTCAATCTTGTGTCTAATCTGACAACGGTGGCCTTTTCAGCCCAGGGTGGCCTGATAGCCTTAGGGTGGCCTGACAGGCTTCAGGGATCCCCAACTGGGGGGGCACCGGCCAGGGGACAGCGGGTAGCAGAGGGACCGAGCATCATCTGAGTGGCCAGTCGCTGTGCCTCCCTGAGTACCCCTCCCCCTATGAACATCAGCAGAGACTGCTTTTTAATGCCAATTGGGGGGTGTCGTTCTCGAAAGCCATTCCCTCAGGGCATACTCACACGAGCTCGATGTGAAATGTATCTGACCGCATGTACGGCCATACCTGTATGCATCTGGTTTTTTTTTTTTTTTATAGCTTCTCTTAATTTCACCTCACACTACCTACCTACCACTACTCCTAACTGTAGGCATACGGGGAACCCCGTAGCAGCCAGAACCTGTGTTCACCAGAGAACATGAGGGGGCTGCTCCTGACCTGCAGGTGGGCGACACCGCCTAGGGGACAGCAGGTAGCATCAGGGACCATTCCAACAGGACCAATCCCTGTGCCTCCCCTCAGGTGGTGGTCCCCCCTCCCCTAGAACATCAACAGACTCTCCTTAATGCCGATCGGGGGATCCAGTGGTCCATCTCTAGGTGGCGGGTGCCAAGCATGCCCAGGAAGGTACATGAGGCCAATGGGGATTGAACCCACGACCTCCTGAACGCCACTTGTGAGCCTTACCAACTGAGTTAGGCCGCTGCATTTTTTTTTTTTTTTGCGTAAACCAACCTCAGCGTACTAGGCAGGGCGGTACGAGCACCACCCCCCAGTGCTTTTTTCGTTTCGACAGCGGTGTGGCGAGGCCCTAAGCAAGGGGCGTTTGGGATTGTGGCTCAAATGGTAAAGTCTTCAGGTTACACGTCATAGACTCATAGATCAAGGGTTCGAGTCTGGCTTGGGAATTTGGGGGCGGTTCTTGTCCAGCTTGGCCTGTCATCTCTTCAAACGAACATATACTTCCCTCGACATAGTACCGCACATATCTGGCCTTCAGGTACATACATTTCGCTATACAGTTACACAGAGCACACATAGCCTTCCGGCAGACACAAAAAACATGGCCCTATAGGCTCATACAAACATACATAGCCTCTGGGCACACACACATACACACAACCACAATACTGGGCTCGGGGGGGTCTATCAGGTATACATGGCGTCTACTCACGCATGGCTTAGCTCTAGGGTAGGGTAGGGATGTAAGTCGCTCTTGCTAGTCTGAGTTCCACCTAGCCTTGGGTAAGCTAGGGGAAGGACGGATGTGTCCGCGGGCGCTGGCCTGCCTTGCTTAGGTAATCCTGCTAGGTAGACTCTCTGAATTGGGCCTGTAGAAGATTGCATGAACCTGGCTTCCGAAGTTCCCGTAAGGCAAGGTTCGTCGGCTTCCGCTTCCACTAGGGCTGGGAGGTCGGCCCAGCCGTGGTGCTTGTCACTGCTGTCTGGTCCCAGTTGCCCTTGATACTGGTAGGGTGATGGTCCTGAGTGCTGGTCACACTGAGGTAGGATAGTAGGGACAGGGGGTGCGCTGGGAGTATTAACGTGGGGATGGGTAGGGTAGGTGGCCTATCCTGTCAGGACAACCATTGGCTGCCGCTACCAGCAATCACGGTGGGTCTGGTACTTGGCCTCTACAAGACCTTGGGCTTTTAAAAAGAAAAGAAAAGAAAAAGAAAAAGAAAAAAGAAGGAAAAAAAAAGGGAAAAAAAAAGAAAAAGAAAAAAGAAGGAAAAAAAAAGGAAAAAAAAAAGAAGGTGCCAGTGTGAGGATGCCCTCATATTTTTCTCGAAACAAGAAGCCCCTACGAGCGCCCTGCGGTCGGCAACATCCCGGCTCCCCCGTCCCCGACAGTTATTCGACTGGTAGTCGGTCATCCTCCCAGATCAGGATGGGACACGATACCGACTCCCGATCCCGTCCATACTGCTGGCTCATCAAGCTTGTGTGGCTTTGCACCTCTCATCAACCTTCTGTCGCTCTTCCTCTCATCATTACACACGTATCGAGAGGAGAGGCACCCACTCACTGCGTCATGTCATCGCGTTACTCTCTCTCTCTCTCTCTCTCTCTCTCTCTCTCTCTCTCGGGGGGCTGCTTGATGGCCTGGACGTTGCATGTGGGGTGAGAGGTCCAGTTCGCTCACGGTTGCCTCCGTCTCATCGAGATCCCTCCCTTTCACCGCCGAGGGGGGGCCCATAAATTGCACTCTCCGGCAAGGGCAGTCCACCCGCGGCCTGGAGCCCATCAGCCCAGACTCGAGATCCGTGGCGCAGCAGACACTTGAGGTTCCTGTTCGTTGTGTTTCGTGGCGAAGTCGATCGAGGCGGAGCACTTCGAATTCCATCCATCGTAGACCGAGATCTGTTGGGACTGCAGCTTGTCACACAAGGGAGAGCGCACACACACACACACACAGACTCTGAGAGAGAGAGAGAGAGAGAGAGAGAGAGAGAGAGAGAGAGAGAGAGAGAGAGAGAGAGAGAGAGAGAGAGAGAAGGGGGGAGGCTTGAGCCGTTACTTCATTCCTTTGTTTAGGACCAGGAGACGTACAGAGTCTGGCTATGGAGGAAGCTAGGGTACATATGCGTCTGCGATGATTTACTCGACGTTCCTGCTCGCAAACTCTGTTTTTTTCTTTCCCGATCATTTCCAGAGACAGATTCGGACTCGTGTGAGCTTGTCACACCGTCTCTAAATAATTTCCGTCACTATTCTTGTTCCTCCCCCACAGACTGTCTTAGACTAAAAGATTGCCTCACACTGCTCACAGACAGAGTAAACGTACTAATCGATAACATCAGAATCAGGGAGTCGCCCGTTGGAGTTGGAGTGGATTGCCAGGAAGAGGAAGAAGAGGCGGTGATCATTTCTCCGTACATCCATCTTCATCATCTGTTGTTGATTCTCATTCCGGCTATCTGTTTCCCAACCGGCAGACGGGAAATTGTAGGTTCGACAAGAGTCGTTAGCAGAGCTTTTGTTTTTTTTTTGGGTTTATTCCTAAATTATTAGACCCAGAGGGTCCGACAAGAAGTCTGGTGTCAGCTATAGCGGGCACAGGCCAGGCAGTGTCAGTGTGTTTAGGCGGTTAACTTGGTTGTCCTTGAAACATGAAGGTGGAAGAGCTTAGCGGGGTGGGGCCGGTGAATGCGGTCAAACTCCGGCAGGCAGCACAAATCACGACGCCGTCGGAGCTGCTCGACAGATGTGCAACGATCCGCGGAAGGCGGGACATTAAGGAGAGGACTGGTATCAAGAAGAAGGTGGGTGTGATATGTGCCTTTGCCTGCTCTTATCCCCGTTGTCTTTGAGTCTTCCCTTTTCCCACCTCTCTCTCTCTCTCTCTCTCTCTCTCTCTCTCTCTCTCTCTCTCTCTCTCTCTCTCTCTCTCTCTCTCTCTCTC